CACACACACACACACACACACACACACACACACACACACACACATACTCAGACGCACACACATACACACACACACGCTTGCTCTCACTCCTCACTCACTCACTCACTCACTCACTCACTCACTCACTCACTCACTCACTCACTCACTCACTCACTCACTCACTCACTCACTCACTCACACACACACACACACACACACACACACACACCACACACACACACACACACACACACACACACACACACACACACACACACACACACACACACGTCCAAAAAAAAAACAAATTGCAGTTTCTCATTAAGATTCTTTTTGGCTTGTTAAATACATTTAGTTTCTCTTGCTCCATCTTACACTTTTTTCGTGTTGCTTAATCATATTTTTCCTCATCTTTCCTTTTGAGAAAATCCAGCGAAGGTAAATATGCAAATGATGCAAAAATACCATTCCAGAAAGTAAACACCGAGTCTATTTTTCTTTCTTTAGACTGAGATATAAATGATCTTTTGGATAACAGCGAGACCAAAGCTTTGGGTAATATTTTGACTGAAAAAAGACCCGTAGTTTACAAGTTCAGTAAAATGACAAGTGTACTCTCTCTCTCTCTCTCTCTCTCTCACTCTCACTCTCTCTCTCTCTCTCTCTCTCTCTCTCTCCTCTCTCTCTCTCTCTCTCTCTCTCTCTCTCTCTCTCTCTCTCTCTCTCTCTCTCTCTCTCTCTCTCCTCTCTCTCTCTCTCTCTCTCTCTCTCTCTCTCTCTCTCTCTATATATATTAATATATATATATATATATATATACACATACATACATACATACATACATATACATACACATACATAACACACACACATACGCACACACACACACACATTTTCACCTTCAAGGATGTGATAAGTAAAATTCTCCTTTTTTTACCCATATTTACTCCTTTTAAAAATATCTCCCCTTTTGTCCGTCGTCTCGCCAGAATTGTAATCCTGTAGATCGGGGGATGCATCACGGGGTCGAGAAGACAAAGAAGATGGGAGTTGTTGTCTAGACACGTCTTTTTATTCAGAGGGAGAGGGTGAGGGTGAAGGTGGGGGAGAGAATGTGGAGAAAGAGAATGGGGGATGGAAAGAGTAAAAACGAGGAGAGAGAGAGAGACAGACAGACAGACAGACAGACAGACAGACAAAGACAGAGTTGGGAGAGAAGAGAGAGAAGAGAGAGAGAGAGAGAGAGAGAGAGAGAGAGAGAGAGAGAGAGAGAGAGAGGAGAGAGAGAAGAGAGAGGAGAGAGAGAGAGATAGCGAAAAAGAAAGTTCGTCCAAACAGAAACAAAGACAGAGAAAGAGACTTACAAAAAAAAAAGAAAAAAAAATAAAACTAAGGCTGGCGACATGCTTGATCCCATGACCGAATGCATCTCTCCCTTTGACACCAATTAACTCTGCCTTTCAAAGCCTCCAACAAAGATGGAAAACCTGCATCGTAACTGAGCTAATGCGGCTGATTGAACGCAGGCCACGAGGTGTGTGTGTGTGCGTGTGTACAAGTGTGTGTGTGCGTGTGCGTGTGTGTGTGTGAGTGTATGTGTGCGTGTGCGTGTGCATGTTCGTGTTCGTGTTCGTGTGTGTGTGTGTGTGTGTGTGTGTGCAAGTGTGTCTATGCGTGTGTACGTGTGTGCGTGCGCGTATGTGTGTGTGTGTGTATGTGTTTGTTTATTTGTTTGTGTGTGTTTGTGCTTGCGTTTGAGTCTTTCTACCAAGCCAAAATATTTCTTTAAGACCACCTGTCCATCTCGCTGCTATTGGTCCACCTGCGTTCTTGGCCGAGACTCCAGATGGTGGAGAGCCTGCAGAAGGCGCTGGCGAAGGGGGTGGCGAGACCGGCGACGGAGGTGTATGATTAGCATTACTATTCATGAGACGAGTGATAAAAAAGGAGGAAGAGGGGAGAAGGGAGAAGGAGGAGGAGGAGGAGAGGAGCAGGAGCAGAAACAGGAGCAGCAGGAACAGGAGCAAGAGGAGGAGGAGAAGAAGAAGAAGAAGGAAGAAAAAAGGAAGAAAGGAAAAATCACGACTAATATCGGTGACCAATGACACTGCTCGTGATATCGATGACTTAAACCATCATAGAAAACGGTTTGATTTGATTTATGCCGGCAAGCTGAAGCCACGAGCCAGCGAACCGAACGAAACGACGAACCGACGAACCGAAGAACCGAACACTTCAATGTGGTTCTTTAAAGCTTCAAATCTTATTTTTGAACCAAATGGCGATACTTTGTATTTCCTTTTCTCATTTCGTACTTTTTTCAATTGCTCCTTTCGTTTTCTTTATCTCCTTTTAATCGTCGTGTTTTCTCTTTTCTGTTCTTTTCTCTTTATTTTTTTTCTTCTATTGATCTCTCTTTCTTCGCTAGTAATTTCTTTGTCTCCCTCTTTTATCATACTTACTTATTTATTTTTCCTTATTACTTTTTTCTCACTCTAATTCATTTTTCGCCCAGTCTTCTTCATCTCTTCTCTCTTCATTTCTCTTTATTCCTCTTATTTTTCGTCCAATTTTCGTGGTCTCCCTTCTCTCTTCATATCTCTTTATTCCTCTTATTTCTCTTTATTCCTCTTCGATTCCTTTTCGTCCAGTCCTCTTAATCTATTTCTCTCTTCATTTCTCTTCTTTCTCTTCGATTCCTTTTCGTCCAGTCTTCTTAATCTCTTCCTCTCTTCATTTCTCTTTATTCCTCTTCTTTTTTATTTCCATTTTCCGTAAATGTGATCACCAATTCCCATCTTCAGTCTGCACGGTCAGTGAGTCCCCGCCGTCATGCAGGAATCAGTAACGGTCACATGACTGCATGACAGCTGTTCTTTCAAGTTTATTTTTAGCGTGTTTTTCTCAATTGAATTAACTGATTTTACATTGTTGTTTTATCGGTTGCTATTGGATTGCAATTAAATGGAAGGAGTGCTGTTGCAAATATGTTTTTTTTTTCTCTCTCTCTTTGTCTTTGTCTGTCTGTGTCTTTTCTTTTCTTTTTCGCTTTCTTTTTCTCGTTTTTTTTTTTACGTATCACAGTGTGTGGATTGTGATCGTGACTTTCATTCTGTTCGGTCTTCTTGTTCTCTCTCTTGTCTCCTCTTTTATCTTTTTTTTTATCTTAATGCCTCCGTGTTTCATTTTAGCTTTCGGTCTTGTTCTTTTGTCTTCTCTTGTCTCTCTTTTGCTTATTTGTTTACTCTTTTTTCTTCTCTCTCCTTTGCTTAATTGTTTACTCTTTTCTTTTCTCTCTCCTTTGCTCACTTAATTTCCCTTCACTTCATTTCTCTTCTCTCTCTTTCAATCTATCTTTTTCCCTTTCCCTAATCCCTTACTTCTGCCCTTTCCTCCTTATCTTTTTCCTTCCCACTTCGTTATTTCTCTCCTTCCCCTTTTCTTTTCTCTCTCTCCTTCCCCTTCCCCCACTTTCTTTTCCTTTCCCTCCTCCGTATTCGTTTCCCAAGAGTTCATGACCTTCAAATGACCTTTCTTAATTTCTTGACAACGGCAGAATAAGACGGCCATTCTGCTTTTTAATTCTGATCTCTTGAATATGTTTTACGAATCTTCCTCTTTTATCACACTCCCTTATTTATTTTTCCTTATTGCTTTTTTTCTCTCTCTACAATTCCTTTTTCGTCCAGTCTTCTGAATCTCTAGTCTTTATTTCTCTTTATCCCTTGATTTCTATGTGAGGAAGGAGATGATAACTCAGGAAGGTTTTTTTGTGTACACACTTGTATTTATCGGATTTTATACGCATCCGCACACGCATACATACAGGCGCACACATGCACACATACGCGCACACGCACACACAACACACCACACACACACACACACACACACACACACACACACACACACACACACACACACACACACACACACACACACACACATCAAATCATATCCCTGAATATGCATGCATGAGCGTATGACCGCATTTGCATGCTTTCGTAGCGAGATGCTTTACACGGACTCGTCTTGCATAAAAGAAGGAAAAAAACGAAAAAACATCGTCTCGTGAGCGAATGTTAATAGCGACTCCAACAAAATTGTCGAGATGCTCAGACAAAAATACGATGTCGTAAAGGGAAGGTCTCGCATTTATCTAATATATGCAAGCAGTCGATCGAGTTTTTTTTTTTTTTTTTTTTTTTATCTGCGTGGCAACGAAGGATTGCGCTTTTCTAGATTCTTTTGTGTGTCTCATCTCGTCTCTTCTTGAAAGTTTATTTATCATTTTACATCGCCGAGGCATTTCTTAATTACGATCTTCATTTTTTTTTGCTTTCCTCTTCAAATTGCCCCGCTGAAGTATTTTGTAATTAGTTCCAATAAATTCGAGAGGAAAAGAAGTGGCGATGCCGGGTGGCCTGCGGGCGGGGAACAAAAGGCGCGCCATTTTTGTTTTTCTCCGGTGCATTGTGGGTAATTTGGGGGCGCATTAGTCAAGCGTCGGTTTGAAAAAGGTGATTTATCTACTTCTTGATGAGATATATATTATGGAAGGGGTTAGAATAAGGGGTGTTATTTTTTCGTTAAGGAAAAAAAATACTTTGGGGTCATTATAATCGTGTCAATAAAATAGTCTAGGTGTTGTTAATCTGACGTATTTAAATTGGAGGGTTTTCGATTCTCTTATAGTACGCTGACAGCAAGGTATACGATTGCATGTCGGTCTTGGCGAGTGGATAATGCTGGTATGAAAAAAGGTACAAGCCATCATAAAGAAACTCGAGGTTTATAGAGCAATTGAAAAGCTATTTGGAGCTCCATGAGAAAAGAGCGGGAGTGGGAGAGAGTGGATGTGGATGTGGGTGCGGGAGAGGGAGTGGATGTGGATGTGGGAGTACGAATGATAAAAAGAGAGACACAATAAGAAATGCAATAAAAAATAACCCGAAAAAAGTGCTCAGAAATAGCAAACCTTCTCCTATTACCCCCCCCCCCTCGCCATGCCCCCCCCCATC